TAATATTATTCTAAGCAGTTTTTGAACAAACTTCAAATTTGCATCTTTAGCTAAAAAGGAAACAAAAATCAGGAATGTGCTTTCTTCCATGTTTCTCCACCTTTTCCCATGTATGAAAGAGATCTGATAAAAAAGAATATGAGCTTGACATGAGCTTTTAGGACAATCCTAGCCATCCAAAAATGCGGTTCAAGATATTTGACACACATCATCTATTTTTGTATTTATGTACATATCTCTATGCTCTAGGGAGACATGGGATGGGGGAATCTAATGCTGAAACAATGTCTGATTCCCATAGAAATTGTCTTCTAATTACCATTCCAAATATTTTCTGTTTGCTTTTGTAGTGGTTGAAATACAAACTTATGGTAGAAAAAAGTTTGAAAACAACACTAGTATTTGCTGTGCATTAAAAAGCCAGTGTTTCAGAAACCTTTTAACTACTGACAGATCTGTCTGGGCCTTGTGGCTTATTTAGGCTAGACTCAAGCTTAATATCCCATCTGTGATATCAATTATTTAGATATTAACATTAATTCTGAAATGTGGATACCAACATCAAAATAGAATCTGCCTTTTAAAGATGAAATTGTTAAATTGTCAAGTTGTAAAGCTTTATGGCCTAAAAAAGAAAATAAACCTTTATGGCCTACAAAAAGGAAGAAATTAAAATTATTGAATGCATTTTTTATTTGACATCTGCATAGGTCCAGGGTATTCTACAAAATTACTCCATAATATGAGAAAGTGTGCCAAAAGCATACTTTCATTGCCAGAGCTAAGAATTATGTATGCCCAGCTTTGATTTTCATATAAAACCTGAGAATGTAAGTTTCAATGCTTTTGGAAACTGGGAATCTATTAATATAATGCTTATCTGTAACAGCTTTCAAGTATCTTAGATAAGGGTAATCTGTGATTAAATCCTACTTAACACATTTTCTTTGTGCCAATTCTCTCATTTTTACATAACAACACAGGTAATTATCATCCAAAATGCCAAATTACTCAATTATATGAGCATTATTTCAATGTAAAATCTTTCCAGATTTCTTCCTTGGAGTATTTTTCAAAGTTTAATGTTAAGGTAAGTGTAGAAAGGTATAGAAAGGAACCTATGGAGAATCTTATTTTTCTCAAAACTAGCTATCTGGATCACATCACTTTTATCTTTAATATCTATAAATTTTAGTTTATCCTTTGTTTTTTAGGTAGAATAGTTCAAAAAGCGGTTATGCACTTGGTTATGTAATAGAATTGTTCTTTCCATTTTAAAGAATGGGATATAGAGTCAAGTATCCAATCTTCACATTAGAAGGTGGGTGAAAAATTCTCCTTTTAGAAAATTTATCTCTTGTCCTACTTTTTGGCTTCAAGGGTTCTCATAAAAAGTTCTGTAAATTAAAAGCAGGTTAGGAATGGAGTGAAAGGTCTCTGAAAATCTCTGGGTGGGATCCTTCTAGGTGAATAAATAATATCAGTATAGAAGGATGTAGAATCATTCTAATAAATGAATTCCCCCACCCCTTAATGCATTCTTGAATTCGGCTAGGTATATCTGTCTTGGCAGTGAACAAATTAGGACTGGGCTGTGTATTACCTGTCAAAATTGACAGAGTAACATTGAAGTTAGCTAATTTCTCTCTTGGTGTGTTTTTGGTAATTAATGTGAACTTTCCTACTATTTGGAAATCAAGAATATAATACCCACAAAGAAGAATTTGGCTCACTCGTATTTCTTAGATGCATGGAAGCTATGTATTATGTTTTTCTATGTTTATATATTACACCTTTGTAGAAATGCTCATGGAGATTGGGGATGTGTGTGCTGGTCTTCATTCCCATTCCATACCTACATAAATTGATAGACTAAAAGGCTAAGTAGATGGGTGCTGAAGCATGGTAAATGTGATTCAAGAGGTATCAAATCAAGAGTACTATTGTAGTGTGTAACTGCTGTTGGGTATAATCTGTCCTTCACATTTACAGAGGTACCACACTATGTTCTAATGACTGTTTGCTAGGTGGAATATCATCATATTTGTTTTTTTCTGTGACAAGTTCATTTTCAGAAAAACATGCCCTGAGCAATTTTCCTTTTAGAATGAGCCTTTTCTCCATTTCTGAGAGGTAACAGCATCACTAAGGGTAATTGAGTATACTGGGAGTAGCCATAGAAGAACTATAAAGGTTGAAATTAGGGAAAGGAAAGATTAAAATTGCACATTCCCAAGGGGACAACTCTGATTCTTTGAAAAACATTAGGGCAGCATGATTCTAAAGAATGAGAACTAGCCAAGCAGCTGAAATACTGTAGGGATCACAGATAAACAAGGCAATTTCAGGCAAGCAAATCTTCCTGAAAAGATAGGTTTAAGTACTTGAGGTTTTGAAGTTATAAAGTAATGCTCTTCCCTAAAAATAAACAAATCAAAATAAACAATTTATATGACCACTGATTTAAATGCCCCTTAAGAGATTAAATCAGAGAACCTTTGACAAAACCGAAAATTTGGAGAGCCTATGAGTGCATCTTTTTGGACACTTGGCAGGTGGGGAAAAGTCACAGAATGCTAGATACTTACCATGTTTTGGGCTGGGAAGCTGCAGCACTCTTTCCCTTGGGAGTTCCACCTCTCAGTGGTTGCTCCTTCTATAGATAAGACACTCTGCTTTGTGAGATAATTAACCATGGCCTGAATAAGCTCCAAAATTGAAATATCTAACTATTTCAATTATTTATCCTTCCCATGTCATCCTTGAAGGTGTAATACCATCAGGATTGCCCAACACTTGAGATGTCCTGGGTGATTTGAAGACAATGACATGGCTAGAAGTGACAAGTACATAATGGTTAAAAAAAAAGCAGAAATGCTATCTATTAACAAAAATCTATAGGTAGATCTGAACAAAATTGAATGAATCCACTCAAAACAGCATGCTTCTTTTTCTGTAACATATGATTTTGTATGTCACCTCTGCATAATGCACTCACCTATTTGTTGATTAAAAGTCACACTGACCTTTTCTCAGTTTTACCAACAGCTAGAATGCCGTGGCCAAGCAAGGTGATTACTACAACAAAAGCTGAATACAAGTTGTAGGTCAGGGTTGTAGGTCAGGGTGAAATCTAATATTATATGTTGCCAATCATAAAATGGCCAAATGCCCTTAAAGTCATGAAACTACACTCAAGACTTGCTCTGGATGCAACTGTCCAAAATTAGAGGGAGAAAATCAGAATCAAAATAGAGATTCCAATATCTTGAGCCCAGAAATATTGAAAGACGTGTCAAAGGGGCTGATTTAGGTTCTTGAGAAGGTGAAGTTTTGGCACTATTAGAGAATGAAGGGCTTCATCATCTAAAGAGGAATTTTCTAATTGCTTCCACAAAGTTATCAAATGTATGCAGAACAAACTAGTTAGTCTCATTTTATCTTGATAGGTTAGGATCAGGGAACTTGGGCTGTGGAATCACCAGTGAATCAAACCCCTGTGGAACAGGCAGTGTGTGGGGTGGAGAGTTTTCATTAATGGGGAGGCCACTAGGGAAAGGTGCCGCAGCAAGGTTCTTGTAGTGGATGGGAGCCACCTGTCAGAATCTCTGCAGAGTTGTTTACAACGAATGTTTGTAAATTAATTTCATTTTTGAAAAGCAACAAAAAATGAGTGGAATTATGCTGTGAACCACAGAGTGCAAAGTACTATAAATCTTCATGGTAGAAGGGTAAAATCTGAAAACTTGAACAAATTAAAATTTGCTTATAGAACATTGAGAATCACTGGGCCACAGCATTTTGCTGAAGGGATGTTAAATGGTCAAGGTCACTCTGGTCATTGAATTACTCTTTTTGCTGTTTAAAGAAGTAGATGTTGGCTCCTCATTTTGTTTTAAGCCAAAGGTTGGTACTTAGGAGATACATGAATTGTTTGATGTAATAAAATGTTTAAATTATACCTTCATTCACACATGCAAGTGTGCCACATATGACCATATAAGAATATAATGAGGAATTCTAAAGAAAATTGTAAAGATGATAAGATGAACAAAGCATCATTTACATGTACATGGTGGACAGATTCTATCTATTGTAGTAAGAACTAAATCCACTGATCTTAATGTAAATTTGCAAATAAGTACATGAACTTTTTTTTTTTGAGACAGTCTCACTCTGTTGCCTGGGCTAGAATGCAGTTGCAACCGCCCAGCTCACTACAACCTCAAACTGCTGGGCTCAATTGATCCTCCTGCCTCAGCCTCCTGAGTAGCTGGGACTACAGGCATGCACCACCATATCCGTCTACTTTTTTTATTTTCTGTAGAGACCGATCTCACTATGTTGCTCAGGCTGATCTCAGACTCTTGGCCTCAAGCAATCCTCTCACCTTAGTTTCCCATAGTGCTAGGATTATAGGCATGAGCCACTAAGCCCAGCCTTAAGTACATGAACTTTAGAAGTCACATTTTTCCCCCCAAAATGGTTATTCCATTTCTGATGCCACTTCTTCCTATCCTATATTATTTTGAGTGTATGATGTCAATAACTTATATAATTAGAAATTACTAATGTAAGGCAGAAGTTCTACTGGGAATCAAGAATAATATAGTGTATGAAACTAAAAGAGCAATTTACTTAGGTAACCCTTGGAAAGCAACTCTACTTCCAATGCTTAGTTTTATTGGGATTGATTGATTTGATACAATCTTCTGCATGCCAAAAATTTGTCTGCCATGTAACTCTTCATGGGTTTATGTTCTTGGATGTGGAAAGAATGTAGATAGAGTCATACTTAACAATGTAGAAAAAGAATAGTAAAATGGAGGAATGCCCAACATTCATCTTAGCACTACAGGACAGACCAATCTTCTGACACTGTGTTCTCTTGGGACGTTACAAAGAGAACATTGCATGACCAAAGGGTTGACATTTGCAAGGGTGTGATCACTGGATGTCTGCTTTCTTTCTTTTGGATGAGGATACCAATTGCACAATAATACCTTTTTGGTCTTTATTTCTTCAAAACATGAAAACAGAAAATGAAGTAGATGACAATGAGAAGAGCGAAAACATTCCATACAGAAAATGCTGTATTACTAGTGATTAAATCAGAAACAATTAGAAACTTTATTTGTCTGTGTCAATAATGTGTACCATTTATAAGGAACAGCACAATTAGTGCACTTTCCCCCCTAAAGCTGTGTACAATACACACAAAATAAAATAATCAAACAAATAAAATGAAATAATTTTACACAACTATAATAATTAATAACAACCCTGAACAACCAGAATCATATTTTCCTATAGCATGAAAATTTAAAAAGCAAACAAACCAAAGAGCTTTGAAATTGAAATTGACCAACAGCAAGAATTTCTTAAAGTCCTTTGTGAAAATTTGCTACAGGATTACTGACATTCCTAATATGGCTAAGAAATGAGTGCAAAATCTTTCTAATGTTTAAACAACTTATATCCCTTGGCTATATTTACTTGGTGTTTCTATGCTAGGTTTCCACTTAGTAAATCTCTGGGGAAAAAAAGGAAGGGTTAAAGTGTGTTCTCCCACCCCCCCAAAAAAATTAGGTCACCAATATTGGTGGGCCATGACAGGTGGGCCTCTAAGATGGATAAGGAATCCTAAAGGTATGGCTCATAAAAAAGTACTGTTTACAGCAAAGATAAAAACTGGTATTAACTGCACATTCTGTGATTTGGATCATTGACATGAATGCCCTTCTTGGTTTAAAATGGGAAGATGTACAAGTCTGCATGTTGGCCAGTGTTAAAGAGGGTGCTTTTCCAAACCTATGCTTTATACTCTCTTAGTTAAAGAAAATCTTGGCTATGTAGGCAATTGCATTTGTGCAGTTTCAGTGTGTTTATGTCAAAGAAGTTTCATAATTGTGTTTTTCCTTGCAAGACAAAACTGTTTTCATATGGCTGCCTTAACCGTAACTCGTGATAATTGCAGTCACATGAACTGTAATCCCCCCAAGGGCAGTGTGATCTGGACTGTTGTGTTCATGGTTTAGGCCCCAGGACGTTTCATACCACCTGGCATATTGAGTGGGTAACTAGCATTTAATTATTCATTCAATTACGAAATGATGTTTATCAAATGTTGAATGATCATGATTACTGAGTGGAAGAAGAGAAAATAAGTCTCAACAACTTTAATTTCTCAAGTATCTCTGAATCAGTCTAGAGGGCCAGGGATGTCTCCATCCTGAGATTCCTTATAAACAGAGATGTCTCTCAGAGGTGACCAAAGTCATTCTATTTTTTCTCATTAGTGGACTCACTACTTTGGAATGTTGGGTTTATCCATGTTCTTTGGTATTTTGAAATTGAAAGAGCCATTCCTTTCAAAGGGTTAAAAACCTCCCAGTACAATCCTCCCAGGAGGCGCCAATGTCACTGAATTGCCTTTTCTTCCATCCTAAGTAGAGGAGACGCATGTCTAAAGGCCTGTTGGTCACCCTGGCTTCTTTCTGAGTCAGAAACTACTAATATAATCAGAAGGGTCTAAACTGGACAGTGAAATAAACGGGGCTCGAAATAGCCTTTTACATAAAAAAATAAAACAAACAAACCAGCACTATCTACCATCTGTGCCAGACAGAGCAGATGTGAAATAAATACTTTGGAGGGAAGGGTGTTGTGGAAAGGGTGGGTCTGGAAGCCCAGGCACATCTAATGCATCCACTTTTCTACAAGGCCTTTCCCCGTGGCCTTCCTGAACTCATGAGTGATTCTAAGAGGCCTCTGATGTGCTCCACATGGCTAATCTTCCACGAAGGTCTTTGTAGTTTGCCTGTTATCGTCTCAATAATTTTAACTTCTCCCCACCTAACAGTTATTGCTTCTTAGAAATGAATGTGCAGATCCATGAACAACAAGCCATTTTTCTCCTTTTGTCCCTAGTAATAATCAAACTCAGTAACAACACAAAAGTAACAACTCAGGTGAAAAGAAAACTCACTTATGTCTTCAATGTCCAATCAACGTTGCTGAATGGGAGAACAGTATATACTATACTCTACTATGTACAGATACACTTTGTTTTGTTTTATTTGTTTTTCATCCATGCACTGTGTAACAGGTATCACAACAACATTTCCAAACAGGCACATGAAGAAGGAGCAAAGGTTCAGTTATGACTGGAACAGGATTGTGCAAGCCATGGATGCTTTTGAAAATAAAACGGACGGACAATCCCAGGCAACAGCAATGTGGGACTGGGACACATATTGATGCAAATGGAAAAGGATGATGTGCTTCTTTGAACGGGGTCATTCTTCCTGTTTGCAGGGGGGATGGCAGGTGGATAGGAGAAAGAGGGTTGGAATGGGACACTTAGGGGGTTAGCTGGGCTGGAATGCTGGAATGCTAGAATAAGGGCCTTGCTAATCACAGTCCAGAACTAAAGAGATAAGAAATAAAGGATTTTGCATGTTCCTGGGAATGTAGGCACATTATCTCTGTACCTGTTGAACAAGAGTGCCAGGCATCATGCCCTTAAATGTCAGACTATATCTAGAACCATCCCATTTCCTGGCTCTATTCTAGCTCCTATGCTTCTTCTTGGAGGCAGTTTCACCTCGGCTCACATTCCGGAAACAAGCTTGAAATTTGGTAATATATTGAAGACATGCTTCTTTCTTCTTCCACGCCCAGATCCTTTCTTAATCCAAAATAATTTTTAAAGTGTTTGGAGGAGGTGAGGGGAATCTTAAAATTTAAAATTTTACCAAAAAACCATTTACATTTGGATGGTTCATCACCTCCCACCAAGAGAAGCAACAACCCTGACCCTCCCAACAGAAAACAAAACAAAACAAAATAAAACAAAAGTAAGAGCCAAAGATCAACCACCTCCCCAATCCCACTGAAAACGAAATCAAAAACAAGAAAACAAATGAAAGCCTTAACAATTTGTGAACCTGGAGAGAGTACAGCCCTTCCAGCTGTAACGAGGGCCTTGCCTCTGTGCCTCGTTCAACACGACGATGGCCCTGGGAATGGGAGGTGACACTTTCTTACTTCGGCCCTAGTACAGAGTATGCTCTTGAAGCTGGATTCCATCAGCAGGTAGGTGAACATGACAAATGTCAGTTTCCTCTGTTCGTTATACATAATTTTTTATGTATATATATGTATATATATATAAATTTACTATATCTGATTGTTCCTTTAGAAGCCTTTTATGTGGCAGTAGGCCTCCAGGGAGGAGAAGAAAATGTACAACAGCCACAGGAGCACAAAGAGGGAGGATGTGAGGAGCTTGGCAGTCCGGGGCCCACCCAGCTCACCTCCGATCTCTGGCCTCCGCCGATACAGCAGCACCCCCACATTGATGAAAGCAAAAATGGTGAAGAGAGTGACAGAGAAAGCTAGCGTGCCAGGGGACACTTTGAACTGTTCCCCATTGGCTGCGTGGTAGATGGCGGCGATGGACCAGGCCACGCCGATTCCCAGAAAGACATTCACCGCGTTGCTGCCAGTGACGTTACCTATGGATGCATCTGCGTACTGGTCCTGAGTTGCTGCCACTTTGCTGGCAAATGTGTCTGCAGAGGAAGAAGAAAAAGGCAGTGACACTCAATTAAATTTTAACGATGTCTGTGGAGAGATGGAAGCTTCAACCATGTACCGTAGATTCAAACCCTGGCTATAAACCCAGTGACCAAATCGGCTTTGACGTTCCTTTGAATCAGAGTCATGTGGTAGCAGGATCTGGATATTGGGAGTCACAGATTTGGTGCTGGCTGTGTTATGGATCTGAGAAAGGGATCTTGGTCAAGTTCTTTATCCACAAATATGACAGTTTTTTGTAATACTGAGCTTGCAGGGCAGTATTTTTCTGAGAGTAATCACAGCTCATCTACATCAGAATCAAGTGGGGTTCTTTTAAAGAACGAATATTACAAGACTCCAGCCAGTTGTGCCAGGTCACAATAACTGGAGCCCAGGAATCCATTTTAACAATATCCCGAAAGATTCTAGGTCATGAAAATTTGAAAAAGGCTGCTGCAGGGTATTACTAAAAGATACTGTATCAGCAGCTCTGCTTTATAGATGAGAAAGTTAAGGTGTCGGAAGAGATTTCCAAAGATTCAAGAGCAAGTCAGTAGTGGAACTGAAAAGAATTAAACTATGAAAATAGCTGATGTTTGCCTAGAGCCTTAGAAATTCACCTATATTACTGTATTGATTGTGATGATTCTAGGAGGTGAGAAAACTAGGCTGAGAAATGATAAGTGGTGGGTGCAACCTCACACAATTAGGAACAAGCCATGTTGGAGCTTGAGCTCCGGCCTCCTGTCTTCACGGCTGATGCCTGTTCATTGAGCCATGTTTCCTTTCATTGTGACCATTCTCAAAGCTCATAGTTCACCAATAATCCTGAATGTATCTCCTTCTGAAATACGAAAGCCATGATCCACTACAGGTGGTCCAGCAGCAGTAACTTATACTTCTTGATGAGTACAGCACAGGAGTCTGGAGCACAGTTGAGCCCGAGGGTTTCAAATCCTGCCTTCACGACTGACTGTGTGACCTTGGGCAGATTGCTTAACTTGTCTGATCCTCAATTTCCTAATCTGGAAATGGGAATAGTGATGCCTACTTCAGAGTGCTGTTGTTAGGTTGAACTATTATATGTAAAATGCTTTTTAGGCTTTTTGGCATAAAGTTAAGAGTTGCTCTTTTTGTTGTTTTGGAAAGATAATGTAAATAGAGCAGTCTAGAACAATTTCAAAGTTGGGGTAGGATCTAAAATAACTCCCTTTATTAAGCATGTACACAAAACTTAACTTACAAGATGTTAAATTCTTTTCTATAGGATGTCTAGTTACTGACATCAAAGTCCTTTCAGCTAACTTTGCAAAATACCTTGCACAGTAGTTTTACAGTAGATAATAATAGCTTTCAAATTGAACTTACATTTGCAAAGCCAGTAACAGCACGTATTCTATGACTACAAGGTGTTGTGTCATCTGCTCTGGTCATCTGGAGGTCCCCAGCATGCTCCGAACATGCAGGCAGTCATGCAATACCTAGACTAGTTCCTTCTCTCTGTTGCTATTCTGTTGCCACCATCCTTCCCCAGAAAATCTCCAATGGGGACAATATATAAAGCACGTAAGTTTATGTCAGCCTATAGATTCGCATGCTTTACAATGGACAAGGTTATTTAGGCTGCAAAGAGGCTACTGCATCTGCAGTATCATATTCTTTCAGAAAGGGACTTGGTCAACCCTGAGGGACTATCTCATTGATTCTGACCTCTGGCTGTGATGGACAGCAGGTTTGGTTACTATTTTACAACTAAAGAAATAAAGCAAACACTGCTTATTCCATGCCACACACTATGCTACATAGGTTACATGTATATTCTCATTTAAGCCTCTCACAAGCGTTATGGACCTAGATGTTATTATTCCCCTTTTATAATTTTGGAAACTTAAGATGTTATGATATTATGCCTCTTGGACAGGGTTTTAGTTAGGAGAATGAGAACTTTTAAACCAAGACTGTTTTATTTCAGATCCCATTCTCAGTCCACACCACACTGTCCCACCCAGGAAGGCTAAAGTTTTCCTGTCCCTTAGTCCATTTCGCCCTCTTCTTTGCCCAGTTCCTTCTACTCAGAAACGGAAGCAGGTTCTCACCAAATGCTCTTTCCTACATCGGGGGTGGAGACAGTATGGGCATTTTCTCAATCCGCCCTCCTGGATCTGTGCTGAGCGCACATCCCTGCAGCCCAACCAGGACCATCACAGGACCGATGAGTAAAAGCAAAGCGAGACAAATCTTAATGGTTTCCTGCACTTCATTATTAAGAGTTAATAGGAGCTGCTGCAGCAGCAGCTTTGAAAAAAAAGAGAGAAGTTATTTTTCTTTTCTTTTTCAATGGCAGGCAGCAGGGAAAGGGAAGTAAAGAAGCAAGAGTTCAAGGTGGGAGAAAACGGCTTGTAGCTCAGCTGTTGCTGATGAACACCTAAGATGTGATTCTGAGCAGAAATGGCTGCGAGCACCAGCTGGTGGGGAACAGATGGCCACGTTAGGTGGGGCACTCAGGGGACAGAGTATTCCCTCCTTCTGCTGCAGAACCAGGTGACCTGGAGCTGTTCCATAGCACACACCTGCTTACCTCCCCTGATACCTGGTGCATGGCACACTGGACTTCCTGAGTACCCTATGACCACTCAGAAACTCTGGACTTTCTAGATGACACCTCTGTCACTGCACCAGAAGAGAAGGATAAATAAAATCAAAAGATTTGGAGGGCAGTCCTTTAGGCTGAAATGGGGGGAACACTTGGCTCTGTAGCAACTTCCTCTCCCTCAAGCCATTTTTCAATAGCCTATTAATGTGAACATTGCATGAAAATTCTTACTTGTAATAATATGTTCTGCCTTTCAAATGTATTTTTCTGGGATCCCTAAAACATAATAGCCAAGCTGACTAATTTGTCACATAAATGGAACATGTTTTGGGTCTCTTTGAGTCTGCTAGGTTTTATTTTCCCAGGTTAGGCATCAGGCCTTTTGTCTATTTTTATTTTCAATTCAAAAGCTATGTAAAAAAAATATTGTAGGAACACACACAAATCCAAACAATTAACCTTAGCTCCAACAGAGAGAACTCTTGTTTTCCAAATGAAGTGAGATGGCTTCTCCCCAAATTACCTTTTATTGCTGCTTTGCTGCTTAGTGCAGAGAGCAACACATCACATACCATATGTTAGGTGCTGCCAAGCCCTACCCAGAACACTGAGTTTGTAACCTGTCTAGGGTGGAACAAGAGAAAATACCATTCCCTAAAGTAAAATCCAAGAAATAACTACTGTCTTGGTCTCAGAGGGGATGTAGTCATATTCAGAGCTTGGCCAATAAATATAAACACAAATGAACAAGATTTTCAATGTGATTGGCATAAATTAAGACATGTTGACAATAATATATACGTGTTTTCTTACATATACACCCTAGGCCAGGTTTCTAATAGGAATTTTTGCTATTAACTCCCACCTCAAATTCTAATGAACTTGAGATCAGTCGTATAGTGTTAGACTTTTGGTCCTGCCTCCTTGGTACATATGACTGTAAATCACTAAGAGGGAAGATTTTTGGGGGGAGGGAGCATGGCTGGAATTAAACTACACATCACAAAGTCAGGACATAATTGTTCTCTGCAGACTCACCCCAGGTTCACTGTATACAACCTTGGCTAAGGTACCTGGTCGATAGGCAAGAATAGGATAACACCCTCCTTTTTCCTTCAGAAATTATTTTTTACCTGGATTTCTCAAATGTTACCTATAGACTACACCTTAAACATCTCTTCTGTAAAAACCATTGTTCTTACAGTCTTGCAGGCCAGACATAAGGTTTATGTATGATCTAGAGCCAGGATTTTCACCCCAGATGGTTCATCTTATTCTTGACTCTCAACATGCTTTGAGTGACAACTGTTCAACTCTAAATTGATTTGTGCCCAGGAAGTGACACTGGCAGTGATCTTAACTGGAGTCCATCATGGGTATGAGGTATGGCTGCTTCCACCAGCACCTGTGAATTACTGCAAATTAATGACACAGCCCAGTGTACAGGGCTTCAGGGGTAGTAGTGGCAAAGCCTCATCAGGGAGACACTCTGAGCCCTTCTGACTACCTATATGTTTTGGGACAAGTCACTTCCCTTTTTTTAGATTCCGGTTTCCTCATTTAAAATGAAGAATTTAGTTGAGAGTATCTCTAAGACTCTAACTTTACTGTTGAGTGGTGCACAGAATACACCAAAATACTAACTTCATGTATAGTGTATCATTTTGTTTTTTTTCCCCTGTAGGAGTTTATACATGACCACTCTTCTGCATAAGAACTGACTAATGATAATAAATATCTTCTCATGTTAAAGAATAAATGACCTAAATAAAATATTTGAGGGTCCTAGAAAGGAAGATCTTAAGACCAAAAAATATCGTCATTGAATAAACTGTGGCAATATTTATGAAATTAAACTACATGGCACAGTCATTTACCTTTTAAAATCAGGTAAGAAGGGTTGGCAAAATTATTAACTTCAAATCACTCTGATTGTCCATCCACATATAGGAAAGAGAAGGGATACAAATGGTGGCAGAGAGGATGGTGTTTCCAAGGCTGTGTCTGACGTCAATAACGTTTGTAATCAGTGGCGTCACAAATACCTGGAGAGCTTTGTTAAAAAAGAATGTGGATTTGGGGTTTCATCCTAGACCCATTTAATCAGATTCTCTGAGGAAGGGATACTAGAATATGCATTTTAACAAATCCTTTAAGCTATCCTTGTTTACACCGATGTTTGAGAACTATAGGAAAATAGGAGCTAATGTTCTAAGTGCCCACAGTTTGGGGGGTTTCTTATGAGTAATAGATGTCTGAGTTTCAGGGAAGCAGCTAACTGGGAAGAAGTAAGAAGCAGCTTGTTTCTTTTAGAAACATTGATGCCTTCAGATAAAGTGGTCATCTGGCTCATAAAACAACCTGGGTGGGCTTAGTGGGGAGGCTGGGGCTACTTCATTG